CAGTCTGACCTTGGTGCTTTCAGAGAGCTGCTTTGCATCCTCGAAGAAAACATCCTTGTATCTTGAAAACCATTTTGAGAAGTTCATATCGGCATCCGGGTCGAAAACGAACTTTTCAATGCGGTTGCTCAACGCTGCCATCAAGTTTGGGAGTGCCATGTGCTCCGTCGCATTGCAATCTCCCTGTCCGCGTTCTGGAATGCGATCTAGCAGTTTTGCGATGACATTCTTCTGTTCGTTCATAACATTCCTCTGTTCGTCCATCATTTCTCTAAACATAGTTAAGATGGTGGTCACATCCATGTTTCAAGTGTCGATGTTGTTCCCTGGATCCTGGATTGTCCGGTAAGCTGCGTAACTTCTGACGATAACTTGGACTTGAGGGGCACGACACTAGCTATCCGAAGCTGACCACCCTTCCGTTCCCAACTGTGCAAGACCCTTCCGTTCCCAACTGTGCAAGAAACAGCAAGAAAAGTTGACTGCTATCACAGCAATAGAAAAGACTTATCTGCTCGTCCGGTTCTTGCCGAAGAGATAGATTGGATAGATAGATATCTATATGAGCAGAATATACTGCAGGATTCTTGCGCCGTCGGATATAAAGGTTCACTATGAAGAGTCCTTCTTTCCTCTTCGCTATTGTAAAATCGCTAGACTTCTGCTGTGACCAATAGATTCTTTTCTTGCTTCAGATCTGATCTTGACCCTGTGACTTCTTCTGTTCTCTCGAAGATCCTTGTTTCGCCGCTTGAGTAGTGGGTATCCTGATCGCCACTGTTGGATCCCTGGCTTCTGGGTTGTCTCCGGGAGTGTCGATAAGACGATACGCACAGAAGGTTTATCTGGCGAGTATACCACACACAAAACTCAGCTCTAACTCACGACCCTACCGCTCACCTCTCTTAAATACGATCCTAAGAGAGATGCGCAGTATCAAGCTTTATCAGAGTTCATTGCTCTGATGCAACACTTTGATTCGTTGATGCGAACGCATGGACTCGTCTTGGCGAGAGGATAGCAGGTATACTGATTGCCTGCGACTATTTGATGCGTACTGATGCTACCTCAAGTTATTCGAGGTTAAGGGTCGAGGAGCACACTGCACTCCCTCCCCACTTACTGCCTTGGATCCTAAAGCTCGAGGTTAAGGGTTGTGGAGCACGCTGTTCTCCCCTTGGATTCACTGCCTCGGATCCTAAAGCACCACACTACTACCTCGAACACATTCAACAGCACGAACCTGAATTGAAGGAATCGGAACCGGATAATAGCAACCGCCATGTGGAGCATCCCACTTATTTGTTCTATAAGGCATCCAATTCTTTTTACAGAAGCAGTTGGCTGAAATTCATAGTATTTTGAGCGCAAAAGGTAGTTTCGCTGCCTGGTACGGGATCCTAAAACAGCATGCATAATAAACAGAACGTCAAATGCGCAGTACCAGTTGTGGGCGTAGTCCGGCAAACCATTGGCCCTCCACGCACGTCTCCCATCTCTACAGCAGTGAAGAGCAGGAGAGTATTGACAAGAAAGGTTCAGTGTTACGTTTGACTCTGTCCATGCAAACAACGAGAACTGCCCCTTGGAATATGCGCGAATTTGCAGGAAACTAGTAGATTCCTTGGTAATACTTGCGGATACCTCAGAGAGCTATAGAGAAGGGAGCGACTACTCATTGTTGAGAGGATCTTTGATAGAAGTAACGGGGCTCACCTTCGCAAAGCAGCTGACGTAACTCATCAGCGCGCAGTTGTGTACCGTCCATCTTTTTATTAGTCAGGCTGAAGTTTGGTGACGCCAGCGTTCGAAGCATCGGTACTGCCAGTCCGTGCTCTTGTACATACTCTGCAACACTTCCTCTAGAATATCTGATTTTGCTCCATTTTGGGAGAGTAGATTGAAACAAAATAGAACAAACAAACAAAACGAATAATTCAACCGCCACCGCTATCCCCGTCTGCAGCACTAACGTCCATGCCAGAATGCGGCAGCGAATTACGGTAGATGACAAGAGCTGAGAGGGCACAGACAGTTAGCGCGCTTGACTATAGTTGGACGTGTAGCTGGCTATGTGGCAGCGTGGTAGGGAGTATGGAGGTGGCTCCCGCATGACTAGCCTCCAGCCCCATCTCCATGCATTTTTCCTAGGGGAAGTGGTACGCTATACCAACTGCGGACCCATCCACCTCACCCAGAGATGACGAAGACCAAGATCGACGAGGCTGGGTGTACAGCTTCTCTTTCATTATTAGACGTACCTAGTGAATGATTCCCAGGTGCCACTTCTTCTGGCGCATGGAAGGTGTCTTTTTCAGTTATAGTTGGTCATGGGGAATGATGCGAGTTTTCGTTTGTGACAGCATGCAGTGTGTGCGTTTGCGTAGACACAAAACTGGTTGGAATATAGTACACATCGTCCCCCACAAACAGATTGAATGTTCATCACAAAGAGGCAGAATGAGCAAATTTATAATCGTGACTCACCGATGGTAATAATCGCTCCACCGTCTTCACGGAACTCGCGAGCGATCTGCGTTGGGTCGTTGAATCCACCATCCCTTAACACATCTTGTTCAAAACTTGTACGCACTATGCACGGTCTTTTTGCCGAAATATGGGCCACAGCCACGTTTGGCTAGAGATTAGGCTTCAAGGGGACAGGTAGTGTGTCCTCAGCATCCTAACTATATATAATCCGCTATGTGTGTCTGTGTGTGTGTGTCTGTGTGTGTGTCACGAAATTCATAGCGAGCGTCGCAGAAAAGATAGGATGACAGTTCCAAGAAGTGATATACATGGCAGGACGGGAACACTTTTGGTGGGTGTCAGGAGGTGATAACACTTGATAAGATACGATAAGGGGCCGTAGAAGGGGAGGGTGACTGAATTCGTAGCGCAAGTTGCAGCAGGTGTGGGACCGTGATTTCAAGGAGTGATATACATGGCAGGACGGGAACACTTTTGATGGGTGACAGGAGGTGATGACACTTGATAAGATTCGATAAGGGGCCTTAGAAAGGGGGGGGTGACCAACATCTAGCGCAAAATGCAGCAGCTGCGGGACCGTGATTTTCAGGAAGTGATATACATGGCAGGACGGGAACACTTTTGGGTGACAGGAGGTGATAACACTTGATAAGATTCGATAAGGGGCCTTAAAAGGGGAGGGTGACCGAATTCGTGGCAAGTTGCAGCAACGGCGGGACCATGATTTCAAGTACTGATATGCCAGAAAAGTGATAACAGTTGATAAGATACGGTAAGCGGCCTCGGAAGGGGAGGGTCATCAGATTCGTAACGCAGGTTACAGCAACAGTGGGACCTCTGATCCGAGAGGCGATACAGGGTGATATGATAGTGATACGGGACGGGAGTGTTATTGGCGGGTACGGAAGTGATAGGAGCTAAAATTGACAAGGTAGCATGGGAAAATCCGCTTCACCGCTCACAACAACAATGCGATCGATATGACTCAAGTATAACGATCTCAGTGATTCCAACAGAACTCATTCCTCACTGCTTATTAGTAACGACATCGTGTACGACCGCTAAGCCAGCTCTATTCCAAATGCATGTGGTTTGTTTACAGAGATGTTATGAACAGCAGCAACTGACTTTATCACTCTTACCACAATTATCTTCCATCAGCAACTTCAGTGAGGGCCATTTAAAGGGTTCCACTGCTGAATGCGGTAGTGCATTCCAAAGCAAGACGCTTTAGGAAGACAGATTGCATAAATTATAGGCTGCTTCAGTGGCTGTCCAAACAGGCTGCACTATTTCCGTGTAGGTTATGAACGTACCAGTCGGATCGCTGGCTAAGGCCGGCTTTCCTCCTGTGATGCGGGGGGGCGCTGCTGCTGCTTCTGCGCCTTGACGGAACAAGCGCTGCTTTTCAGTTCTTGGCTGATGCAGAAGATTCCTTTGAACAGTGTGGTTGGTCAACGATCCTTAACTTAGCACGCGGCAAATCCGCATGGCCCGGCGACAGCCGGGCGATCCGACTGGTGAGTATTAATTTCGTTTAGTGCTTAAATACCTGACGTTCACACCGTGGACGTGGGCAGTTCACATCACGGACGTGGGTGCTAACGTACGTCAAACCGTGGCTGCTCCAGAAGTAGATACAGTCCTCATCATTGCGGACCGGTGGGGCGTGTCAGCCAGTATGAGTGTGCACACTGTTGAAGCCGTTCTCAGCCTTTTTGTTGAAACGCGTATGCGACAAAAAGTGGTAGAAAACGAGTAATACGGAGGATATAATACAGTAATGTCACTTGCCCGCTTCAACAACTGGTGCAGAACGACTTTGGCCCCGCGCCAAACGCAGCCGCACTGAACCGCCCCGACAGTACGTAATGATGAGGACTGTACTTACGATAAGCAGGTCAATATAACCCCGAGGACAAGTTTCCAGACAGTTTTGGGAAGTATTTTGTCGCCGGCATCAGTGGCACGGCGCGTTTTTTTTATGATAAACGAGTGTGATACCCTGCCACTGATGTGCTAACCCGTACACCATTGCATTGCAGGTTTCCATCAGTACTATGACCTTGTTGACTTTATGACGTTCCGTAGTGCGAACACATATTGGTGGAAATAGTATAAAACCCAGGTACATGTTGAAAAACAACGAACTTATAAGTGCTTCCAACGATGATGATAACTGGGCGAGCAGCACGTCGATGACTTGAAGACGAAAACTTCTTCGTCGCCATGCGGATCGCTCTAGAATCATTGAGAGTTGCTTTTAGCGATTTGTTCGTTATGCTACAATACCATTGCTACGATTCCCAATCTGTGAGCGGAATAACGGAGAATGAGTGGAGAGGCAGGGTACAGCATCGTGTGTCGTCAAATGGCTTTAGTACAGACCCCACCTCCTCTTCTTCTTCACCGTTTGCCCGCTCTGTTTTGGGGTCCGTTCTTTTTATTTTGTGACGCCACTTCTCCCGATGGAATGCCTGGTCGGAATGGGTGCCCACCTTCAATTCCGCATGCAACATGTTTAGCAGCGTTGTCGGGGCATCCCTTAGGTCGCTTTCCGTGTGTCTCGAGCTCAAGACCAATCATACGGGCAATGTCAGAAGTCGCGCGCAGGAAATAACCAAAACGAGCAGAGATTTGCACGTTTCTCGTTTAGAATTCTATACCGAATCTCTTACGTATGTCGTCACTCGAACGCGATCCATACGCGTATGCCAGCTTTCCTGCGCCAGTGTCACCTACAACACTAGGCCTGGCCTCAATTTCTTTGATCGCAGGCCACCACTCAACACCGTATATTGCGACAGGTCGAACAACAGCTCTATAGGTCTTCGAATTATGGCGCTCTGGTATCGTCTTGTCGCAAAAAACGCCAGTCCTCTATAAGGACCCTCCACTCGGCAACTGGAACTAATCCTTGTTCCCAATAAGCCTTCTTTTTACTGCCTCTTTTTGGTATTCCCAAGAGGCCATTTCAGCGGAAAATGAACGTCCAGTTTAGTAGTCGCATGAACGTGCCCCTACACCCAAACAACCGTCCGTTTTCTAAAAGCGCGCCACCTCCTGAACGACCTCCCTGATAAGAGAAGCAGACTCGTTTGAGTCGGTTGTCAGGAACTCGGTTTTTTTTACGTGTGGTCGGAGTCCGAAGTTTGCCAAGCGCTCAGAGCGAACTTGCACCTGTCGTTTTAGTCATCCTTTTCCTCACTGGCGAGCATCACATTGTCAGCGTAGGGAAGCGTCCAGAGAGTCTTCTGAATTCCGTATAGTAGCACCCATGACGACAACGAAAGAGCGGGGGAAAGTGCAGAGTTTCGCCCCAACTGCGATGACGAAATCCATGGAAGCTCCTGCCGATGTTCGCACGCGACTGGTTGGGCTGGAATACAGGATGCCCACCTACACAATCAACTCTTCAAGAACGCCGTGCTATCGTAATGCGCACCCGTATAACCTCACGCGGACACCACCAAATGCCTTCTCCAAGTCAAGGAAGGCTAGATAGGCATTCTTCCGCAACCCAACCATTTTTTTCCTGCAAGAATGCTATATAGCCATAAAACCTCACGCTGACACGATCGAATGCGTTCTCTTAGTCAGGGCGCCACGAAGCCACACTGGTTGGTGAAGAGCTAAACGATATCGCTGGAAGGTTTTTATGCTGTGCGAGAGCAGGCGAATAGGACGACAAAGTGAGCAGCCTGCAGAGCTACCCTTGTTTTTCCGGATCGGAACCGTTTCACTTGCCACTTTTGACATTTTCTCTGCAAGGACGTGGTGACAAATTCGTTTACCATTCAGCAGAATGTCATCAGTACTGCCATGTTTCGACTGCCACGTCGTCAGGGCCTGTTGCTTTGTCTGGTCCTTTTCTTCATAGCCGCTTCTTTCGTTTAAGCTTATCTTCTGAACGGGGACCGTATATTGATGAAGCATGCGGTGCGGCCGGGTGTGTATATCCTACAGAGAAGTTCTCAAAGTAAACGCGCCATTGCATCAGCTCCTTCTTTCGATCTACCAGAAGGCTGCCTTACTCGTCATTGATGCCAACGAACTTTTATCCTCGATCTGGCGTTGACGAGCCTTTGCAAGTCGGTGAATTCTCGTTTGCCATCGCGCGCCTCTAGTCTTCATCGCGAGTTTCAAGTGAGCGGCTTTTGGAATGGCCACAGCATTCTTTGCCGCATTTTCGGCTTTATGGTATTTTCGATAGTTGCCATCTAACTTGTCTCCGAGAAAAAAGTGTTAGCGCCTCTTCTTTTCTAACCTTTAGAATGACATTATCTGTTCTACGCCTTCCAATTTCCGTTTTGCCGGATTCAGAGTGAGCGGCCTATCACTTTGGTAAGCAATTTCTCAGGATCGTCGACAGTTGTTACTTGTTAACCGAATACGGGAGATTACAGCCGCTTGCTTTTCCTTCAAATGCCGTCATTTAATTGTCTCGGACCACATCTGTTATGACCTGGGCCATGTGATCTTCAGCGTACAAATCAGCAGACGGCTGGTTGGCGACTGTCTCATACGGCACGACTTGCGCGTCTGTGACCAGCCCTTCTTCGCGTGCCTAACCAGGACAAAGCCTGTTTGTGTTCTGACACTTCCGATAAGAAGTGCAATCAGGTAGGTTTTGCGTTTACGGAACTTCGTACTCACCATGGCTAGGTTATGGCTTCTGCGTACTCGAGTGTTTGCTCCCCTTCAGCATTACGTGACTACCACAACTGGAACTACCATGACAGCTGTCCGTCTTTCGTTGCGCCTACGTGCCCATCAAGGTAGCAATGATGACCTCGTCGTCTGACAATATTCCAGCTGTCGTCTACTGAAGCACAGACCAGAGCTCGTCCTTTGACAGCTCGGTGCATCCTGTATGTGGGGCACGCGGAGGAGAAGTGGTACGGTCGTTGCTCGACAAACAGAACAATCTTCACAAACGGTCATCGAAACGTCCCACGCTGTTTACGGACACGGAAACGTCGGGAGACGATTATGGTCACACCATTGGTATTCTTGGGCTTGCCACGAGGAATGGCCTTGAAGCCACAGCCAATTTTCTCGTCTTATAACAGGACCACCTTGTCTCCTTTACTGCACAGAGATCAGTTCGTCTGCGCTTCAGTGTTTCTGCCAGCTCACATGAGCGTTCCGTCAAGGGCCCAACGATTACGTTGCAATACGTACTTTCCACGGTGATCTGGAGATTTTTGGACTAGCTCGGCTGCCCTCCCCTCAATGCCTCCTTACGTCGAGAATCCTCGCGTACTTTCCACACTGCCGGGGCTCTCGCGGACAGGGTACAGCATTGCTGTGAGAAACACATAGGGAGGTCGTACTTTTCCGCTGGGGGAGGGGGGGGAGTCGTATTTGGTCGTTGGGAGAGGGGGGGGGGTCGTATGTGCCTTTGAGAGAAATTTGCTGCGTTGGGAAAAAATTTCTCCCGGTTGTTAACTTTTCGCGTGATTTTTCCTGTTTCATGACGAAAAATTTTGCATTGAAAAGGTGGAAAGTGTGGGAAATTGAGGTGTGTGTTAGGAAGGGGTGGGGTCGTACCGAGACCCTACCGACCCTACCCCTTCCTAACACACACCTCAATTTCCCACACTTTCCACCTTTTCAATGCAATAAATTTTTCGTCATGAAACAGGAAAAATCACGCGAAAAGTTTAACAACCGGGAGAACTTTTTTCCCCAACGCAGCAAATTTCTCTCAAAA